TTCTGAGGCCCCGGCTGGTTTTGGGTGGGCTCGGAGCTCTCGTGGTACTGCTGTTAGGCCACCAGCAAAGCAAATTGTGGTGCAGATGGTTTCAGTACAGCTTTCTGAGTCAGTGGTACAGGTGATGAGCATTGCAGTATGAGCAGCAACAATGATACTGTAAACGCTTTCTGATGTACCTTGTGCTTAACATCTGCTTTTAAGTCCTACATCTGAAAACTAATTTTATGTACATAATGAACATGAGGAAAATTTTCACAATGAAAGTAACTAAATAGTGGAACAGGTCTCCTGGAGAGGCTTGGGAGGGCTTAATCTTCAGGGACATTTATACTTGACTTGATGAGGCCTTCCTTAAACTGGCCCTGCTTTGAACTTGGGGAGAGAGTGGACAAAATGAACTCCAGAGGTCACATCCAAGCCATTATTCTAATTATTGTTTTTCCTGATGGGAAATGTGTTTGGAGACAGTATTTGTTTTGTCTGTTTGACTCCACTTGTTAGCGCTCTGAACTTCCCAGGATTTTCATGTCAGTGAGGAGGTAATTACTGTATTGATTGCAAAACTAAAATTATCTTTTCTCTTGTAGAACCTTCCATTTTCTGTGGAAAACAAATGGCGATTACTCGCCCTAATGTGTGGATTCTTTGGAAGTGGATTTGTCGCCCCTTTTCTTATAGTCAGACACCAGCTTCTTAAGAAATGAAGAGGATGGACTAACTGCACTCACTGGGTAACTGAATTCGTTAGATCCCATAGCACAGTGGAATTTGGTCAAAACTAAGCTTTAGAGAGTAACTTCCTCTGAAGCTGTTACTAGAATTTAACCTCAGAGGGCTGCTGCACTCTCATTGACTTGTGAACTTTGACTCCCCAAAGACCACGCCTCTCTGCAGCTTTTTGATAGCCTGCAGCAGGACTAACTGACAGAAAAGTGCTACTCATGTAGTTTGGATAATAACTGTAACCAAAATTGTCTGTCCTCTTCTTTGAGGAAACATAAAGCTTCATATGGTCTGTAGGAATAACTGGCATGTGTGATGTGAACAAAACAGTATGAGAAACTGTGATACTGTAAACGCTTTCTGATGTGCCAGTGAAAAATCAGTGGCCAACAAGATTTCTCTTACTTTGACCATGTCAAAACAATCTCACCAGCTACATAGAGCATTCCTAACCATTTACAGGATACTCTGCTTAGAGTTAAGCTCATTAGCACCAGAAATTCTTGTAGTTGATGCTTGCTCATGATCCTCAGACATAGTTCAAACTGCAAACATGCTGCTTCCACTTGAAAGGCCAATTCCATTTTTCTTAATCTGACTCCACTTTGGAAGTGCCTGGTATTGTCAGCTCTGTGATCTGAGGAAACAGTAAGTCTTTTTGAGAAGCTGGAATGATCCAAGTGGTTCTTGAAAGGAAATGGTCCACACTGAAATCTTGTAAGTGGAACAAATTGATGTCATCTGTGTAATTCCTTTGTTAGTCTGATGGTTTTGACCCCCTAGACTGAGCAGGAAGAAAAAAAAATCAGTAGACTTGTGTTGAAATTGAACATTTAGAACTGTGTGATTTCATCAAAGTCAAGGTGTTGTCTACAAACCCATGTGGTGGGTGAAGTAAAGCCCAGCAAAATTCTAGGTAAAGCATATTTATATAGCTTTTCTAGATTCAAAAATAGAGTGAAATTTGTTAATTCTTTGGTTTTTTTTCTTTTTGTTGCAGAGTTGAAGTCTTCTACACAGCATCTTTCAATGGAATAAGGATAGCTGGATCTGTCTAAATAAAATCTTAAATCTCAGTGTCTTGGGCTGTGTGTTTGTGAAACTCCTGAAGTGCTTTTGACAACTGGTGTATACTGAGAACCTCTTCAATTGCAGTGTGTTGAATTAAACATTAATCATTGTCACATATAAACCTAAAGAGATGGAAAAATAGCATTTCAAAACTGCAGTTGAGCTTAACATCTTCAGCTGGATAGATGTTTGCATAATTATAGGAACCGGTGTGGTGTTCTCAAACTGTCACAGAATAACAACCTGTGATAGATCATAACTAGTGAGCCTCACTGGTTGTACTCTTACCATAATCCCTGTAGCAGAATTTTTTCTTCAGTATTTTGGTTAATGATTTGAGAATGTTTTATCTGGTGTTGCTCCCACAGAGGGCTGTTGTGAAGGGCTCCTCTCAGTAGGTCTTTGCTGTGTGCTGTGCTGCTCTAGCTCTGAGCAGGAGCCTTTGCAGCACCCAGCAGGTTCCGTTAGGTTTCAGGCCTAGGTGATGAGGTAGCTTTCCTTCAGTGAGGTCATCTGGTTTACCTCTGTCCCCTAGAACACCCTTCTGCTGTAGCATGGTGCCTTTAACATGGCTTGGGACACGTGTCAGCTCATGAGCTGAGATGGTTTCACAGAAGTTCAGGTTCTGGTATAGTTCCAGTGTGGATACTGGTGTGTCATCAAATACCATCAGAAGTGTACATGAGCAATAAAATACTGTTCAGAACAGAATAGCTCTTGGGTGCCACATTTCTCTTTTAAGGGTGGCTTTAAAATGCTGATGATGTGTTTGAAGAGCCTGGGCTGGGAACAAAACAGTAACACTCGCTACAACTCCTTCAGTAGAACTAAAAGGAAGTGTAATGGAGCATGCTGATTTTGATCAAAGGACCAGCAGAGGCTGCAGGAAGGTGGTTACAAAGCAAGTAGGATTCAGAGGAAGGATCCCAAACGATAATGGGTTCAGACAGAGTGTTTTACGACTATGAATGAAGTATTATACAGTATAATTAGTTTATCCTGGTCTGCTTTCTGTCTGCAGAGTAATGCCTCTGCAGAGCAATGCCTCTGCAGAGACTTTGAGAGCGTGGCCTCATGTCTCTTAGAGCAAACAAATGATGTGTGTGCACTGTAGGTGACACAGCAGCAGCATGCTGAGACAGGCACTGCAGAAAAGGTGACAGTTTCTTCATCTAGGCATCGGGGTTTCCTGGAAGAATTTAGATACAATAAGAAAAGATTTACCCTTTTATGAAAAAGTCAAACCAGGGGCTCTTAGGTGACAGAGTCCTGTTTGCCTCCTGTTGCAGATGAATGAGTCAAGTGTCTGTTGTACAAGGCAAGTCCAAATGAACGCCTGTTACAGAGTCACATTTTTCTTGTGGACCACAAATACGAATTCCACTGTGTATTTGTACCTAGCTCACTTTATGTGTTAAATTTTTTTGTTTGGTTAATTTTTCCCCTTACATATCCTTGATGTAGTTGAGAAGAGCAAGCAGCATATCTGAAGGTTCATCTCGTGGGTTAGGCAAATGAGTTCCTCTAGCCTGCTTGAAGTAAGGTGTCTTTTCTGAGAATCATCCCCTTCTATTTAAATATATTTTTGAGCATGGGTGGTTATACATAAAACAGTTATTTTTATATGAAATGTTAGAGACGTTCTCATTTCATGATGTATTCTAATACTAATCATCTGTTTTTCAGTGTTGTTACATTGATGGATCATAGTCGTTTAGGAGCAGAGGGCTCCTGGGGAGTGCTGGTTTTAAGAAGTTTTCAAATTATGACCTTGTTTCCACCAACTCTGCCACCAACTTGAAAAAATTACTGATGTGAGTCACAATACCCATAGCCTTTCATCTCCTGCTGCTCTACTTAATTTCTATTACTGTGACTTTGTGCTGTACTGTGGGCGTTAATCTGAACCTCCACTGTGCTGGTGGTTGTCTTCCAGCTGTTACCTGCTGTGTGCTCCCACTCTGCTATAAGAGTCATACAAAAATTAAACCACACCAGCCTTGCTTTGGATAAGTTACCTGAATAAATGTACCTTGTTAGTCATAAACTGTCACTTGATACTCCCAACGTCATTGTGTCCCATTATTTGCTAATCTTCCCTTTAATGAGAAAGTTTAGTACAATTTTCTAGCCTTTTTGAACTAATCCACTCAGTTCATTCTTTCAGGGTGTCGTGAGTTACGTACACTTGCTGATTTTGCTCTGTGCAGCTCTCCAGTTGTTAGCTTATATTTTAATACAACATCTGCACACTGCAAGTTTCAGAATGAGCAGCTATCTTCTCCATCCACTGCAAACGCTGTTATTCTTACGTGCTGCCAAATTGTAATTTGTCCCTTTAGAGTTGGACTATTTCTCTACATGACTTGCTCGGGCAGTTTTTAGTCATTTTCAAGCCACATCAATTCTCAAGCCCTTAAGTTCTTTGTCTAACTTAAATAATTGGTTCCCTTAGGTTTTCAGAACTTTAACTTCCATAATAGAAACACATTAAGAGATCTGTTCTGATCTGTCAGTGCTAACTGGGACAATCTTTATTCTACCCAAAGGCATTTTTTACTACTAGATTATCTATGAAATCTCATCAGTGTTGAATAAAGCAAATTACAGAACTCTTCATTTAGTTATTTGAGTGGAAAATACTGGTTATCATTGAGAGATACGTGGCGCCTATGATTAAGATCAGATGTTTGACAGTGTTTAATTTCACAGAAGCACAACTCCAGATTATATTTGTTTCTTTGCTGTTATGAGAAGATCACTGCTTATAGCCCAGCTTGATTTTAGGAGCATATTGTAGGATATCTCAAGTTGGAAGGGACCCATAAAGATCATTGAGTCCAAATCATTGCTCCTTACAGGACTACTTAAAGCTAAATCTTAGGACTAAGAGCGTCATCCAGACTCTCTTATGCCAGAGACTAGAGCACCTTCCCTCTCAAGCCGTTTTTATTTCTTTCACTGATACTCCCATAATTATGTTGGCCTTGATCTTTTCTTTTTGACCAATTCTGTGGTTTCCTGTTTAAGTCTTTCTACTCTTTTGTTTGCTTATTGACTGCTAAGTAGGTAAGCAAGAGAAACTTGGGTCGATTTTTGAAATGCACCTCTTATTATCTACTGTTTGTCATACCTCTCACATCTTTTCTTCCATGCATCCTCCACAGGGTGGAAAATCTATCCATGGCAGCAAAATGCTAGGGCAGACCAAATGATCCCTGATGGGAAACCTTATGCTGGTCTCGGGGAGCAATGCTGTGGGTAAAATAACTTTTAAAAAAGTCTAATTTGAAATAGTAATACATGGCTTCAGGAAGTGAAGCCTCTGAGTCTTCTGCTTACTTCAGATGGATGGGACTCAGTAAGCTCTGCAGCCTGATGAGCCCTACCCTGTGATGTCCAGCACAAATTGGGACAGGCTAGCTGATTTTGTGACCCTATTAAATACCAAGTGTTTGTTGACCTCAAAAGAAGCAGGATCTCATCTGAGAAGTTCTCTGAACACGTTCCCACTGCCGCTCCTAACAGGGAAACACCAAGCCCTGAGTCCAGAGATGGAGGTGTCACAGTGCGTACGTACAAACAAGCTGATATTTAATGGTAGTACATGGCATCAGATCAGATTTATTAAAACCCAGGAGCTGTAGAATTGTTCAGAACATGAGAGGACGTTCCATCACACTCAGCTACATAACAGTCTGAGTACCCAATGAAATAATTATTTTTAAAATAGCCTTTTGGGTTCTCTTTAGAGCATCTCTTGACATCAGATAAATCAACTGAAAAAAAGAGGTAGAAAATTAAAACACAGGCTTGATGTTATAGGCAAAAAGCAATATGTAAGTAATGCTTCTCTATCTTTAAAATTGTATGAAGGAAACAAGGTGGGGGTTAAATGACATCTGGGAAA